ACATTGAGTCACATACGACAGAGATTTTACTGGATAGGTATGAGGCATGATGTGGAAGAATGGTGCAGGGCATGCAGTACTTGTAGTTCAAAAAGGGGACCCAAGCATAAGGGACGCTCACCTTATGAAGAGTTGCCTGAAAATGTGTCAGAGTTTGTGAAAGTGTTACCGGAAAGGATGGATGATATCCACCATCAAGTGCGTTCAAACTTGAAAAGTCTGCTGATTCGATGAAGTTAACTTATGATAAGAGATCTACTGAAGTCAGCTTTGTACCTGGAGACAAGGTATGGTTGTATAATCCCAGGAAGACCAAATGGAAGTCTCCTAAGTTGTCTTCTCCATGGGAAGGCCCATATAACATAGTGGATCGTCTCTCAGACGTGACTTTCCGGGTAAAATGTGGTCGGCGAGTTAAGCCAAAAGTGGTGCATGCCAACAGGCTTTGGCGTTATCACGGTCCAGGACATTTCAGTTGGGATGAAGTGGACAACAGAACAAATGACGCTGCTGAAGACGTGCCACCTGAAGAAGCCACCGTCGAAGACGAAACTCTACTCAGTTTTGAGAAGGGAAACGATGAAGCTCTTGATGAAGTTACTACCACTGATGTGACTGTTACCGATGATAGGACATTTACTGATGAAGCAGATGAACCCCACATGAAGCAAAAGCCAACGAGACAGAGACCAGAACGGAAGAAGATACGTCCAGTAAAATTAAGAGACTTTGTTGAATTGTAATTTTGTGTTTGTAATTCTGTACATTTAATGAAGTTATTGTTAATTGTTGTTGGTTTATTGTAAGTGGCTATTGTTCGGGACGAACAATACTAAGGAGGGGCAGTGTTGCGTCAGCGAGATCACGTGACTAGTATCACGCCACCCGTTTTCTAGAACTATCCTGTTCCTTCGGGAGTGCTCTAGCATTTGCTGGATTGGAGGTGGGCTGGTATATATAAGATGGTCACGGCGTGACGTGACAGTGTGTGTAGGTAGTGAGTAATTGAACTGCAGTCAGAGAGTATTGTTGAAGTTAACGTTCGTTATAGCGTTTGTTATAGCGCGACTGTTGAAATTAAGTGTATCGTAAAGTTGTATTCGGAAAGAATAAACCAGTTTTATTAAGAGAGGACTTGTGTCGCTAAAGTTTCGTCGGAATGAAGTTACGGAAAATTAACTAACGACTGGAGGCGTAACCATATTTTTGTTATTTTAGTGCAACCAAAACTTTAAAATGTTTTTAATTATGATTTGGAATATACTAAATCCAGACAAGGTCATATGCTAAATTAGTCTTAAGTGTTACTTTCTGTGTTTCTGTAACACGACTTGTCTAATGCTTGTTTAATTGTTCACCTGAAAGACATCTTATAGGTTTCTTTCTTTCTTTAGTATTAGTATTTAATCCGTGTTTTGATTACAAGCAGGTTTCACATAAAACTTGGTAAAAAAAACCGTTCTGTTTATCTTGTTTCGAGTTACCTTTGCTCCTTTGTCAATTTCAAAGTAATACCTGTTACCGCCCGTGGAGAACATTGCTTACAGCGACATTGTTTCAGGAAGTCGATAGCAGTGTTCTTCAATGGTTGTACAGGTGATATCTGGATGTTATAGGCCACCTATGTTGTAATGAGGATGATCATGTTAATGCATGTCTCTCTGGGAAAATGCGAGCTTTCTTTAAAACTGTGAAACCTTGAACTTGACAGTTTTTCTGGCACATCAAGAAGTATATAAAATCCTGGTTGTTGGTAGTCAGTCCAGTGAAGGTGACAGTCAGTATAAGTGCTTAGCAAGTACACACGCAGTACCGGATTTAGACTTGGTGAGGCCCTAAGCTATATAAACTGTTACGCCTCCAGTTGTTAATTGATTTTCCGTAACTTCGTTCCGACGAAACTTTAGCGACACAAGTCCTTACTTAATAAAACTGGTTTATTCTTTCTGAATATAACTTTACCGATACACTTATTTTCAACAGTCGCTCTATAACAAACGTTTTAACAACGAACGTTAACTTCAACAATACTTTCTGACTGCAGTTCAATTACTCACTACCTACACCATTGTTGTCACGTTGTGAGCGTCTTATATATATACCAGACAAACATATATCTAGTAAATGCTAGGGCATTCACGAAGGAACAGGATATTTCTAGAAAATAGGTGACGTGCCACTAGTCACGTGACCTCGCTGACGCAACAAAACCTTGGAGGCCCTTGTTAAAAAGTTACACCAGAAGGTCTCACAAAAGTGCGTACCAAAACAGGATCTTGGGTCGCCACAAAAAATTAAAAACATATATATATGACTTTTAATTATTTATTAGCAATGTATTTAAAGTGAAAAATACAAATTATTTTCAAATTAATGCATTTACTGATTACATATTTATCATTTGGCTGGCTTGATCTCTCTCATAGATTATAATATAGTATACACTGGAAACAATACTTAAATGTAATTTTTAAAATAATTTTAAGATACATTAATATATATACAAAAACAAATCTGAAATTTTGTGAGGCCCTAAGCTGTAGCTTGTTTAGCTCATGCCTAAATCCGGCACTGTACACACGCTGTGTATACTAAAGATTGTTCACGGTGTGGTTTACTTGTATCCAGTGTCATTCTTTAATTTTACATCGACTCAGTTAAGCAAATTTTCGTTACATGTTTGGCCCGGCATGGCCAGGTGGTTAGGACGCTCGTCTCGCAATCTGCGGGTTCGAATCCACGTCACACCAAACATGCTCGCCCTTTCAGCCGTGGGGGCGTTATAACGTGGCGGTCAATCCCACTATTCGTGGGTAAAAGAGTATCCCAAGAGTTGGCGGTGATGACTAGCTGCCTTCCCTCTAGTCTTACAATGCTAAATTAGGGACGGCTAGCGCAGATAGCCCTCGAGTAGCTTTGCGCGAAATTCAAAAACAAACAATATACAAACAATAAACAAACACAAAAGAGCTCAAAACATCAAAATAAGAAAATACCGTAAATCAAAAAAAGGTCACCGATAAATATGTAATTTTTTGTATGTTTTTAGTCACGGCATAGCGGCTCGTAGAAAGGCTCATAGATTAATTTACTCTAATCCTACCTAGGCCAGGTGGTTAGGACGCTCGACTCGTAATCTGCGGGTTCGAGTCCCTATAACACCAAACATGCTCGCCCTTTCAGCCGTGGGGGCGTTATAACGTGGCGGTCAATCCCACTATTCGTGGGTAAAAGAGTAGCCCACGAGTTGGCGGTGGGTGGTGATAACTAGCTGCCTTCCCTCTAGTCTTACACTGCTAAATTAGGGACGGCTAGCGCAGATAGCCCTCGTGTAGCTTTGCGCGAAATTCAAACCAAACAAACGTTACATTTTATTATATAGCGGATCTATCCAACATAGCTCTGAAGTTAAACCAGAACATACCACACTTATACACATAATGGGCAGGTTAGAGACCCTTGTGATTCAGAAATAGCAGGCTCTAAGTTTGAATTATGGATCATAGAGAAGGCAACTAGTCGTCAGCACCTGCTGCTTTTAACTAAATTGTGAGATAAACTGTCACTCTCATAACACGTACATCCACAGCTGGAAGTGCGAAGGATGTTTAGTGTCATCAGGTCTCGAACTCCGCAACTCGATATGCTAACCAATAGACAACGCTTGGACCTTTAATCGAATAAACTATCTACAGTGCTGCATTAACACAAGTGGGTCCTGGGCAAAGTATAAACTAGTGGCTCCCCCTTGCTTTTAAGAAAATACCATACAGTTTGATAAACTAAATTTATTAGTACAGTATTAGTTTAAAAACTGGTTTATTATTTTATTAGCCCTCCAGTGGCACAGCGGTATGTCTGCGGACTTACAAC